GCTTCAAGAAAATGTGCTTGGCAGGAAAACGGAATTCAGTGGCTCTCGTTGAGAAATCCCTACTATTTTCAAAACTCACACCATTTTCAGCGTACAGTGAACCTTTTCTTAGCAGTTTACCATTGATCAAAACCACATTATNATGATTTCTCCTTTATACTACGGAGAGCTATTACATTGCACGTTTATTTCAGTATCTCTCGTTGTACTCGCCAGTGTTCTATGCACTGTTCTTCGGTAAATTCAGTGAAAGGGATAAAAGAGAAATTCCTGTAGAAGATGTTATATTGGACGAGTTCATCGAGCTTCTCAACGTCGTCTATCCCAGCCACAAGCCAATCTCCAGTAAGTCAAATTTTCCGATCATATGCTCTTTATACATTGCCATTGCTTATTTGGCCCCTGGATTATTGAAACTGATCTTCTGACAACTTATTTTTGGGTTTTCTTGCTAGTGATGCATGAAAACGTTGCATAGCTCTTACATTTACCATCTATCGCATAAATAGTGGTTGATGTAAAGTTTCGGTTAACTTGTTATGTAAATACCCCTGCGTTTAAAAAACTTTTGAAACGCAACTGAGTTCGCAATTTTCAATGTCAATTTCAAAAGCATGCTGAGACAGTAATAGTCGCTTCTTCCGTGTTTCACACTCTTTCTCGAGCCTTCCTGTTAATCGCATCATAGTTGCTAGTACAGTGATGTTCGCCTCCTCTTTGATGTTTGCCATCCGGTAATGTTCCTATTACCACTTTTGTAGACGAAACTGGTTGAGCTGTTGAAAGTGCTAACAGTTTGTCAACTGAAAAAAAGCCTCTAATGGTGTTTCAGCTGACAACGTGGAGTTCCTTCTGGAATTGGGCGACAAATTTGAGATACAGTTTGTAATTGACGAATGTGAACGTTACCTTATTTCCACTGAAGACATTCCTATCGTTACGAAGCTTGTCTGGGCAGATCAATATTGTCTAGCGAAGCTGCAGGTATGTCACATTCAATTTCTGCTGCTTTATTTGTTTTGCTGCCCATGTTCTTTATCTTCTGATCATTGGGATGGTAGCTGCCCCTGGAATGTAAAAATTGAGGCTTACGTATTCTATGGCTTCTATTGTGAAATGATCAATATTGATGAGGACCCAACTCTAGGGTTGAGTGGCCTCCTTGAAGCGCAGACTCGGCATAGTGTAGTTCTTAACTATTCTATTCATTACCTTTGACCGAAACTGAGTTTCGAATGTTGTCGCGTTTGAAGGAATTGCAGTTGCTTCAAGAAAATGTGCTTGGCAGGAAAACGGAATTCACTGGCTCTTTTTGAGAAATCCCTATTATTTTTAAAACTCATACCATTTTCAGCGTACAGTGAACTTTTTCTTAGCAGTTTACCATTGATCAAAACCACATTATTTATTGCTGTGGGCTTGTTGCAGCCAGTAACAGTTAAATCTACGAAGTGATGTTGTGCTTGTGTTTAATACCCCTTTTTCTGCTGTTTCTTTTTTCTACGTAAAAGTTCTGCATTCTTCGATTTCGCTGTTTTTAAAGCGGGGGAGTAGGAAAGATTGATGAACTGATTGAGTTTGATTAATCTTTCCTGAGATACGTCACGTTTTCGGCCCTTCCGTCCCTTGAGATGGCTGTAATCTTGTTGAGGGAACACTTGTATATTTGGGATACACCAAGCGATTGCCAAACCAATGTTTACTGTTTCTCTCTGTCGTCTCAAGCTAGTCTGGTAACACTATCTCATTGTGCAGAGCATCGGCCGAAGGGCCATATATACAAACTCATTTTTACCGAAGTGCTAAGTCTGGCATGGCCTCCAGAAAGTTGCTCAATAGGATCTCCCCCCCCCCACAAAAAAGCCCAAGGCAACGAACTACAAACTGAAAGTGAATGATATTCAGTATATAAGCATTGAAATAAGGACGACCAACATGTGACACACCGAAGAATACTTATTGCAAAGATTTCAGTTCATCAGAAACCTTCGGTTGGCTTTCTGTGAAAACTTGGCACGTTGATTTCTTAGTTTCTCGAGGCGAGCTACTCAGCTCAATTCTGTTTGTAGTTTGTTGGTCTGATCAATTAAGAGTGAACCGTCAAGGGTGAAGGTAGTTTACCAGAATATCTTCAAAGCTTTCTAGCCTTTGATGACGACAGACCTCTGAGAAGGTGAAAAAACGAAATTTCACCAGTTAAGACCTGCTCGACATGAAGGCGTCGAAAAATATGTTTCTTGAGATTCTCAGAAATTTAAATCGAGGAACGACAAGGGGTAGAGAAAAGGAAAAAGGAGTGTCAATGACAGCTTCATGAGGCGATTCCCGAATTTGGCCCTATTTCCCGTCGAGGATTTTCCAATGCGCGCTGGACTCCTTATTCTGTTTGTCGGCTGCCCCCAACACGACGTTTAACCAGGCCATGTACACATCCACCCCAAAATTCCAACCGGGGCAAATCCTAAGCGCTCTGAACAAAATGAGACCGTTTAACACCAAAAACACTGTTTTTCATCCTTTCATTGTTATGTTTTGTTGCAGGACGCATGTGTTCGTACGTTCAAATGTGTCAACGATATCAAGGCATTGAAACTTACCGAAGAATACAAAAATCTCAGCGATACTACAAAAGCAGCATTATTAGAGAAGATATTCAAAATATTGAAGGATTAATTATTGGGTTCTGTATGATCTGAAAGCACTTGTTTCTCTGAGAATCATCATAGGCACCTCATGTGAGCTACGAGACTCCTGTTCACCTCTTTCAATTGCTTCTTTTCCTTTTATTACTTTTTTTGTTCACATGAACATGCATAATTATCAGTCAAGCCCACGAATTTCGTTCTAGGACCACCGTTGTCTTTTTTTGTTGTTGAAATATGCACCCAATTTTTTTTGTAAAACTCCAACGTTGATATGTAAGTCGTGTGAATCTGTGATTGTGTGATTCTGTCTTAGTTATGATTATTTCTTTAGAGCGTGTGTGTATAAATGAGCTTCATTCATACTGCCGAGTTAAATATTGTCCTTGTATATACGTATAGGACCTTGCATGAAGCGTTGTGAAAAGATAGTTCGAAAAAGTTTCGGGAAGTCTCAAGTGGTAGCGGCAAGGGTACCTCATCGATTAATGGCACCTTAATAAAGTTAATTTCACTAGTAAATAAACAATTCCAATGTTACGATCATGTAGTCGATGGTAGGACACCGAGGGCCATACCGTATCTGCTTGCTGCTTCTGTATTTCGCTTGTATCAATGAATTTTTTCCCATCGAGCTGAGCTCGGTCTCAACGCCATTCCCCTGAATATCATTTTTTCTGGGATGGGAATAAGCCGCACATGTGGTCGCGGCTCTATTTAGGTTTAACCGACTTGCACCTATGGGAACTCTACATGTCATTTTACTTACCTGATAAATAGTAACCAAGAGTAGCTATCGCGAAATGGCTCATAAATATTACATGAGGGAGGGGTGCGATAAGTTAAGCGATTGGGAGGAGGAGAGCATTTTATTGGAGATTTTTTTTNTTTTTTTTGGAAATCTGGAAAGTTTCGGTTAGGTCGTGGACGTAACAGGTGGATTTTATGCACCGCTCACTGCTTTTCGAGAGGTTTTGCGGCCAGTCATGCCCAGAATGCGCCGTGCAGTCGATTTTCATTAAAAACTGACGCGATGAATGAATGCGTATTATCCCACGCAATGACTAGTAAACCCAGTAGACAGGCGAGATAATGACAGACGTTTACCCTCTCAGGTAATGAACAGTTCCTGTGAGCTCTGAATTCATCGCTATACTCACACCTATTTTGCTTTGCTAATCAGCGAGAATATCAATTAGTTCCCACATATTCCTGGTTTTGAGTGAGCTCCTTTCAGTATGCTTATGAAAGCAAAGTGATGGTAATATTGGAGAGAGAAGCGTATTGCAGCCAGTGAGTTGAATGACTGCTTGTCTTCTATTTCTTATTGTATGTAGCGCACTAACCCCGCCCACTGCACAGGTCACGCCCTAAGAACGAGTTGATGAAACGACATAGGAAGCCCTTATACCTACAGTGATAACAAAAAGATTCGTAGTAAGGGCAAAAATATTGTCTGCTATCTTCACCGTTCCCAGAAACGACTCAGTTTTGTAGTTGTAGATATACTGCTTTTTGGTTCTAGAAATTTCAGTCATATATGGGTCTGCTGTTCGATTAAAAATCTTATTTGGATGAGATTGCTAACCAGAGCCTATTGGGGTAGGAATGTATCCAACGTATTCCATTAGTATATCATTATCTTTGAAATTCCCACTCAGTTTCGACTTTCAGTCGCAATGAACTGGGAGGGCTTTTTTGATAACAAACAGCTTTTTTCTTGATTACTATTTTGTTGTCTTCATTACCATTTTAAACTTTCAACTAAAAAATGAAAAAGGAAAAGAAAAATAAGTTTCCTCACATTGTAAAGTATTGTGGTATGAAAAAAAGCTAAGAGGTGTTGTAGTCCAATTTAGTGCTCCCTGTCCCTGTAATTTAAGTCAATTAATTGGATGGGCTAAGATTTTAGGACTTTGGCTATCTCCTTTATATCTACGATTCTTCTTATGACCCAATCTTCGTTCATGACCACCACATCGAACGCATTCGGCTGGTGTAGTCTGTCGCTGGCGATCTCTCGCCTTGCGGGCAGTTCCATTTGGCCACCTAACTTCAACTTCCTGTCTGTGTAAAGCTCGTTTCTCAATGGTCATTCTAGTTTTCTTTCATTTTTTTCATCCTTCTCTTGCAACTTTGTCATCTTCCTTCTAGTAAACTACTATTTTCGATGGAGCTCCGCATTTTTATGTCAACCCTACTCGTATCATGAAAATGGCGAAGTTATATACTGAAAATGTAGCTGATCTGCTGTGTCACGACGGAATCTGAAACTAAATTGTCAACAACCCACGCCAGAACGACGACACTCAGGTCAGTTTCTTTACAGCAAATCGATTTCTGATCGCATTATACTTATTGCATGACTTGTTGGTCCCATAAGTGTAAATCATTTAATAAACAACGGCAGGTTTATAGCTCCCTACCACCGTTAAAGGCGACAAATGGTTTATTTTCAGTAGCATCTAGAATACCTAATCTTTATATGCATATTATTTTAGGAAGATTTTAAAAAAATTTCTTCAATACTTCTCATTTTGTTTCAACAACACTCTCAATATTTTTTTCTGGTGACCCTAGGAAAATCCTCGATAAGTCAGTCTCAGTGTTAGCCCTCTTAAGAAATTAATGTCGACCATAAATGCATATATCGGACTTTTGAAATGTTGATTGTCGTGGTACATGCCACCAAGCCATGTCTCCATTTGATCACAACCGTTAAAGCCGTATCGCGCAGATCGGGCAAATACGATGGCTCAATCAGGGGTTTCACTTTTTTCGTCGGTGTACTATTGAATAGTTCGAGCTACATGAGCATCGACATTGTTTGGAACGATGGTATGATTGTCTCCCTACGACTGGGTGCAACCACGTAATCATCGATTTGATCATTGAAAATCTGGCA